ATAGCAAATATACATAGAAATAATAGGCGATAAAATGTATCTCACAGCTAGGAGAAGATTGGGAAAGAGAGAGAGAGAGAGAGAGAGAGAGAGAGAGAGAAAGAGAGAGAGAGAGAGAGAGAGAGAGAGAGGGAGAGAGAAAACGAATCTCCAAGTTTAACGTCGTTGTAATGACAACGATTTTTTGCTTTGCGGAAGTTATCACAGGGGGATAAAAAAGCTTACGCGATTATTTTACGAGGATGAGGGAAAAAGAGAGGGGGCAGAGAGGGAGGGAGGGTGGCACGGTCGTTTGAATTTCACGTGTCACTAACAAAAACCCAGTCACTTCGCTGAGGTAAGTTTTGAAACAAACTTTACTTTATCGTGGCTCGATTGTAGGGAGTGAGAGTGAGTGAGAGAGAGAGAGAGCCGGGAGGACGAGTTTCCCTCTCCCTTCCCCTCCCCCGGCACCCCTCCACGATTCTCAGCCAAGTAAAGTTGCTCCCAGGTTAGACAATAATTGGATAACTTCGCCCTCATAGCACCCCGCCACCAGCTCGACTTCAATCCTCTCCCTCCCCCTCTTATTCCTCCTTCTACTACTATTTGTACCCAACCCCTCTATCTACTTCGTCCTTCCCGCGCGTGCTCTCTTTTCTTCTCTCTCTCTCTCTCTCTCTCTCTCTCTCTCTCTCTCTCTCTCTCTCTCTCTCTCTCTCTCTCCTTCCTTCCTCTTCTCCCCCTTCTTCTTCGTTCTCGTTCACTTCGCCCTCTTCCTCCTCCTTATCTCTCCATCCCCTTATTCATCCGTTCAACTTGTAAAACTCTGTTGCACACTGTGAGATTAAAGCAAAAGGGTTGAATTTAATCACTTAAACCAAGTCGACGTTGAGTCGAAAGAAATTTTGGTGACAAAATTTGACTGACTTTACTCCCTCTTTCTCTTTTTCTTATAGGGATGGATTAACAGAGAGATAAGTTTAGGTTAATTTAGGTTAGGTTAGGTTAGGTTACGTTATGTTATGTTAGGTTACGTTATGTTAGATATAGTTTATTTAGGTTAGGTTAGGTTAGGTCGGTCGAGATGAGTAACGCGAGCGTTAGAAACGTGGACGATTGCATATAATGCAACGCAGCATAAATGCAATAAATGTCACATGGAAATGAAAAGAGGATCAAAGGATAACTCAAAATATGTTATCGATTTTCTTTTTTCTTTTCATTTTTTCTTTTCATTTTTTCTTTTTTTTTTATTCTTTTCTTAAGGGAGGGTTTCTTTTTCTCCTTCTCTCTCCTAATACTTAAAGCGCTGTCCCCTCTCTCTCTCTCTTTTACTCTTTTTCTCTCTCGCTCTCTTTAAATGAATAGCATTATGATAATATCTGTCTTCCCCATCCCTCTTGTTTTTCTTTTTTTTTTGTTTTTGTTGTTTTTTTTTTTTTTTTTTTACGTGAATCGACAAAGCGTGCGCGCGTGCACCACATGTACCAAAATCACGGTTCTCGAGATAAACGACGAAGTGCCTTGTGATGAAGAGGGTGGGGGCGGGGGTATGGTGGGGGTTATGAAGGGGGAAGTGACTCTTCGAGCATAGTACGTGGTCGTTAACGTTTATAGCTAGTTACGAATGATAGTCGTGTAGTGGTAAGGAATAGTATATGTATATGGTAAATACGGGACTCAGCTTGACTCTCTTTCTCTCTCTCTCTCTCTCTCTCTCTCTCTCTCTCTCTCTCTCTCTCTCTCTCTCTCTCTCTCTCATTCTCTCTCTCTTCTTTAACTTGCTTCCTCAAATGCATCCGCGACTTCGTTCCTCGGGTTAAACTTCACGTACGCGTACATTGTATGATATATACGCTGCCAGCTGTCGAACAAGGACTTAATCTCCTCGCTTCTTTTCTCTCTATCTGCCTGTTTCTCTCTCCCCCCTCTCTCTTTCTTTCTCTCTTTCTATCTCTGTCTGTCTCTCTCTATTTCACTCTTTCTTTTTCTCCGTTCAACTCTTTCTCTGTCTCTTCTCCTTTTGATGATATGAGCTCGGGTTTTCGCTGAGTTGGCACAACATGTGCCCAAGTCAAAGTGCTTGGGTTTGCACTTCGCGTTAGTATCGCATCCTCGCTTTCGCTGAGGCCAGCATCAGATCTCATTTTGTGTAGCCTTCTCTCTCCCTCTCTCTCTCTCTCTCTCTCCGCGCGGAAGCTATGTAGTACGTATTCTCCGATTATGCGCGCGCGTATGTTGACCTACGGATTCGAGCGAAACTCAGAAGTCTTCTCTCTCTCCTTCCTCCTCCTCCTCCTTCTCAGCCTCCCTCCCTCCCTCCCTCCCTCCCTCCCCCCTCTCTCTTTCCCCCTTTCTATCCTTCAAGCGGTTGCGTTGGTGGTTCAAGCACGATGCGTGTGAAAACAGCGGTGGGGTTCATCGATGCACTTTTCCTTCGATTATCGAAATTGTAGGTTAGTTTTGCTTTCTTTCTTTCTTTCTTTTCGTTTCTTTCACTTCCTTAATATCGATAAATATCGATAAATATCGGATAACTAGGAATATCGATAAATTGGTTAAAAATATTCGAAAATATCAAATCCTGTTATCGTTGAAAAAATTTATTTGTATTACGAAAGTGTGTGTGTGTGCGTATGTGTTTTTTTTTTAATCTTACCTTTTATTTTATTTTATTATTTCTTTTCTTTTTTCTTTTTTTCTTTTTTTTTTTTATATGTCACCTCATGTGTAATTATCACTTGAGTAACAATTTGTCTTTGTATGAATGACTTAAAAACGAGGGATTTCATGCAACGGTGTAAACATTTCAAAAATTTGTCCTTGAATTTATTGGTCAATGCCAAAATAATTTCCAAGTGAGAGTAAACGAGAGAAAGAGAGAAAGAGAGATTATTCGAAATGATCGTTATAATATTTTACGTTAACGTCGATGTTTCCTGTATCTCTATCTCATTTTTTTTACTCTATTCGTATTTCACGAAATTTATGGTCGAGGCTTTCTTTTTCTTTTTTATTTATTTTTTATTTTTTTTTTTTTTTTTTTTTTTTTTTTTTTTTTAAGGAATAGGCACGTGCGTAATAATCTCATTACGAATCAGCCTTTTAAATAAAGTATGCGAAGAAGGAAGGAGTTACTTCAGAATAGTAATAGTTTCTCTCTCTCTCTCTCTCCTATGAAAGCAACGTGTGTATATAGTATATTATACCTAAGCACATTTGCAAAGCGTCCGTTCACGCATGCGAGGGCGCCACGCGTCAGAGTCCGCCGACTTTTCTTATGGAACTTTACTAGTTCAGCACTTTTCCGTTTTACCACATAAAAGCGCTGAATCATAAATCGGTATCGTTTTGGGGTTATTCTTTTCGACTCGTTGACCAACGCATATAGAGGTCTCTAACGAGAAACAAAAACTAGTTTGATTGTTTTTCATGAGTTTGCGAAAAGAAATTATACCGTGCGTGTATATTAATTACTACATATGTATATATATGTATATGTGTATATATATTGACATATATATACATCACACATATACATATATGTAATATCTTGTGCATCAAGCGTAGATGCACTATGATTGGTTTTCCAATTTACTTTCGTGTAGTAACTGGATCGAATGCGTGAACGGCATTGTTTGTAAAAAAAAAAAAAAAAAAAAAAAAAAAAAAAAAAAAAAAAAAAAAAAAAAAAAAAAAAAAAAAAAAAAAAAAAAAAAAAAGAATTCCGACGAATTTACTCAGAATATATATATGTACATACAGAAAGAGACACATTCATACATATATATATGTTTATATATATATATATATATATATATGTATATATGTATAACTTTGTTGTTATTGGTCATCGATAAAGTTTCTCCGTTGACCGTTATTGGCTAAGAAGTGAGAAATCAGTTGAAGCTTTTAAAAAGAATACGACCTAATATATCGTGCTACTACCAACGCCAAGTGTACTGTATCAACGCACCCGAAAACATTATCCCCAGCCAGTGATTTCGTTCTGGGTGCCCTCTGCGCTTCTACGAGCTCCTTTTCTCGACGTTTTAACTAATAACGTACGAATTCTCTTATCTAGTTTACAACGTTGTTAAACAGTGATACTCATTATTTTGTTATTTTTACGCACCTAAACGATATTATTATTTTACATCGTTGAACGTACGTAGTGCGCAGGTTAAGCCGGCGCGTTTCAAGGTAACCTAAAAAGCTTGCTTTCGCGCACGCTGTTACGAATTGTGTGTTTCGCATTATGTCCTGCGTTGCGCCAGAGCGACTCGATATATCGGCAATAAGTAACTATTTTCATGCTAGTCGTTTAAAGGTGGTCATTTAATATGCCAAATCTAATATATCTTTTGATTTAGTATCATTCGTTAATATTTAACATTTTCATCCGTTTCCATAACAAAGATGTATGTACGTTCGTCGTCGTTCTCGTCGTTACGTGCAACATACGTTTTCAAGCTTTTCATGTGACGATCCTATTGTTTATTTATTTCATTTCTATGGATTTATTGTTATTGCACGTATAATACCAATGTTGATTGTTATAAGAAGAAAAATTTTTTTTTTTTTAATTTTTTATTATCACTATTATTATATTTATTATTATTATTATTATTATTATTATTATTATTATTATTATTATTATTTTATTTTATTTTTTTTATATGGATGCGTATGTGTATCTATTGCTTACGCAGGTAATAATACGTGTATATGTTGGATTATAATTTGGAGCACGCTTTCTTAGAATTACTTTTAAATCAAAAGATGAAGTAATTTGGTATTAACATATATTTTATGTTGACAAAACGTTTTGTTTTGTAAACTTTGTGATATAGTTTACAAAAGTGCCATTGTAATATTTGTGATACAGTTTACAAAACTTTGAAAAAAAGCTTTCTATGTTTGGTCGATGTAATGTTATTATTATTTTTTTTTTCTTTCTTTCTTTTATAAACATACAATATTGTATTTAAACGATATTTGTTTCTTTTTCTTTACAGGAGACGGTATTCAACGATTCGTGATGCGTTGGAGGTTCTGCGGTCCTTGTACAAAAACCGATCAGAAGTCAGTGTTGCAACAACAATTTGTGTGACAAAGCATCAAAGTGCAAAACCATATAATCACACATTCGAAGAGGCTTCTTTACGAGTGGTTTATAAGACTTTTTTGAGAAATAGTGGACATTTTTAGTGAAACTGAGAGTAAGAGTGAAAAATACAAACATAGGGGGGGCTGTCTGACCGATGGACAAACGGAAGATGATGCCCAAACGCCCTCGAATGGAGAATCTAAGGGGCCCTATTGCAAATGGGCCCATCCAAACACGACCACTAGTGGCTTTACTCGATGGACGAGATTGTTCCATCGAAATGCCCATTCTTAAAGATGTTGCGACTGTGGCATTTTGTGATGCTCAGTCAACATCAGAAATTCATGAGAAGGTAAGATCTTTGCGATCTGTGACGTATATCGTAAAAACAATTTATATAACAGAGATTTTAAGCGATGCGTTAAATATTTTTTTATAGGTATTAAACGAAGCTGTAGGTGCACTTATGTGGCATACTATAATTTTGACAAAAGAAGACCTTGAAAAGTTCAAAACACTACGGATCATCGTTAGAATTGGATCTGGGGTGGATAATATAGATGTCAAAGCAGCTGGCGAACTTGGCATCGCAGTGTGCAATGTGCCTGGCTATGGAGTCGAAGAAGTAGCGGACACCACTCTCTGTCTGATTCTAAATCTCTATCGACGCACATATTGGTTGGCAAATATGGTACGCGAAGGAAAAAAATTCACTGGACCTGAACAGGTAAGAAAGATTCATTGAGAAATGCGTTTGTTCTTTTTTTTTTTTCTTTTCGTTATTTTACTTCTTTTTTTTTATTTTTTATTTATTTATTTATTTATTTACTTTTTTTTTTTTATTGACAAAAAATAAATACGATATTTTGATATGCTTGTTATATTTTAGGTCAGGGAAGCAGCAACAGGATGTGCAAGGATACGAGGTGACACACTTGGCATAGTCGGTTTAGGCAGGATCGGTTCTGCAGTCGCATTACGTGCTAAAGCTTTTGGTTTTACTGTCATCTTTTATGACCCTTACCTACCTGATGGAATCGAGAAATCTCTTGGACTCACCAGGGTTTATACATTGCAGGTAAGAAAATCATTCTCATATTCGTAAATTCTTTTCGAATGGAATATAAATTAATTATATTTATTAATTTATATGTTCTCGTACGTTTCAGGATTTACTATTTCAGTCCGACTGTGTATCTCTACACTGTACCTTGAATGAGCACAATCATCACCTAATAAATGAATTCACTATTAAGCAGGTATTATTATATTTGATTATATATTACGATAATAAAAGTATATTATTTATTTGATGTTTTAACGTGACAATGATATTTTTTTCAGATGAGACCAGGAGCATTTTTAGTAAACACAGCACGAGGTGGACTGGTAGACGATGATGCATTAGCTGCCGCACTTAAACAGGGTAGAATTCGTGCAGCGGCATTGGACGTTCATGAAAATGAACCGTACAACGTCTTTCAGGGTCAGTCTACGCAATGTGAGTTTTATCTGACCATACCTAACCCCCTCCCTCTCTAACTAATATTCCCTTTGGTCATCCTGGTCCTCTTCTTTGACCATCTGGTATATATACACCAGTGCATCTTCCCGATGGTATCCACGGCATGGCATGTTGTGTAGAGGAATTTAATAAGGTGAACATAATTAAGAAAACATGCATTGTTACATCATATCGTGTGCTTTGATAATTTTTCATTGATTAATTGTCAGACATTGTTATATATATATATATGAAAGAGAGAGAGAGAGAGAGAGAGAGAGAGAGAGATAGGAAAGTAAATAAAGAAAAAGAAAAAGCAAATACGTTTGTTAACAATACATGTTTGAATTTCGAAAAAAAAAAAGCAGATAAAAGAAAAGTGAAAAAAAGAAAGAAGAAGAAGAAGAAGAACGGTCGTTAAACGTTATCCTAAGAGAGAAATATTTTGGTATATGCATAGGTCCGTTGAAAGACGCGCCCAATCTGTTGTGCACACCACACGCTGCATTCTACAGCGATGCAAGCTGCACCGAACTACGTGAGATGGCGGCCAGTGAAATACGAAGAGCTATCGTCGGTCGCATACCAGACTGCTTACGAAACTGTGTAAACAAGGAGTATTTCCTTTCCTCGACCGGGTAAGCGTCCTTATAATGCAATAAAATTGAGCTCAAGCTTAAAAATCGTAGGGTATACTTGGAGTATCGTCGCAATTTCTTTTTCTTGCACCCGGGAAAAAGATATCGTAATTTTTACAGAAACAGATTTTCAAGCAGATGTTAACTCTCTCGTATTACATGGAAAGAGAATCAAGTGTAAAGTAACGTGGTTATAGAAGCGTTCGAACCTTTGGATTTCCTAAGATCGATTGGGCACTTTGTAAAAGGCATTTATCGAAGTGGCC